GATCAGATAAATGAAGGATAATGGAAGTATACAAATTCATCAGATTCGATTTTTTGTTCATCAGTCATAGTAGCAGGATATTCATCGGTCATAGCCTTTGAAACCTTTTGTTGAACAAGGACTCCCCTCATTTTTTGCAGCCAAATGGGAAAGTCCTCTTTTCCATTAAAAACTCTAAGTTCAAATGTGGTAGTTGTCATTTGAAGTTTTTAATCAACACTGAAAACATTTAGGAGTCAATGTTAAGCAAAAAGAGAGATAGATATTCCACAAATATGTTGAACAACACAAAGTATTACCCACAATATATGAAATATCAGGGGCATATAAACTATGAAAAATAGCAGAATAGTATGAATGTAGAATTAGGGAAAACACTTCAAGCTTAATGTGTTTTGAATTCACCAGGTTTCCGACACATTCAACACTAGGGGGAAGGATTACAGATTATAAGTAAGAGATCAAGGTAGACACAAAAACAAGATATAAAGAATAATGTGATACAGGATAGTAAAATAATACATAGCTCCAAACAACAATAGCAATGAGAAATATTTAAAAAACCGAAAGGAAGTATTCAAGGGTTAGGAAATTTAACCCCCAGCCCTGAGTAACACCTCAAGTACTTAGGAGTTTATCAAATAGTTCATTTAACATACGAAAAATAGTAAAAAAAAAATAAAAAAATCTGACTTATTCCTACAAGATTCAAACAAAAAATCATCAAATATTCAAAATTACTTAAAGAATCATCACCAAATCACCAATATCTGTGCACAATTGAATCTAGGGTTTCCAGACTGGTAAGATCTTTTAAAATTGGTTTGTGAAACTTAATTTCCCACAACCGAATCACAAAGACGAACACTTAATTGTCCGGAAAAGGCTCTGATACCACTGTTATAACTCGAAACAGGAATAATCCAAAAACTCAACAGAAACTCTTCAAACCAAAAATCAAGGAATGATCATTAACATCAAGAGTTAAAATGTTTTGGGCTTAGATTTACATTGTACCATTCTGTACAAACCAAAATCTCCACTTGACCCTAACCTTAATTTCAGATAAACAGAGGCAACTACTTCTATGTATCAAGAACGACCACAAAACACAGATATCCCACTCTTAGCCTCTAATTAAAATAAGTCATAGAGACTCAATCACACAGATTTTCCCAAAACCAGAAGTTTTAGGGTCACACAAAGTAAAAACGAGAGAGAGGAATCAAAAGAGGCTCGAAGAGAGAACCCAAAAGCTTATCAAGAAATTAGAGAGTCAAAAAGTGACGATAGAGCAACCACTCAGGTTTTTTTGATACTAGCCAGCATCACTGTAATCGTTAAGTGGTGATCTGCGGTGCGGAGCAGCACATGTGTCCTCTTTATTTGGGATTGGGTTTGGGCCCATTTCAATTTGTGTTATCAGGCAATGGATTATATTTAGAGTGGGCTTCGCCCATTATCATCACCACCTAGGGCTGGATCCATCATTAATTGGCATCACAGCACAATATAAGTCTTAATATGTTCAATTTGATTCCTAGGTATAGTTAAGAAAACCAATCACAATAAGCACACAAGTGAAGAGAAAATAATTAAGATCAGGTTGAGCCAATAAACAATAAATTCATGCATCAAATTTTAGTTTATCTTAATAGTTTTCACACTTGCTGCATATTTCGATCCATACTCATGATAATATTATTGGCATGATTACTGAATTGTAGTGTATGTGCATGAATAGGTCCGATCAATTACTGTCCAACATATAGTGAACAAGATGATTCCACCCCATGAACCTATTCGAGGTCCGTGTTTCAAACCAACCATCATCTGGATGATCTCTTTATAGAAGATATACGAATAATACCTAGCTAGTTAACTTTTTCTATATTTTTAGGTAATTGCTTTTAGAACATCGAAAGTAGACTACGTAGATTATGCAATCATGATTAAATTCCTAAAATTAAATGCTTTTACAGATGTAAATTCATACGCAAAGATATAGTAAATTGGGCATGTGAAAAGGGTTAGCTTTACTCGGGAGAGATTACTACATAAAACTCATTATTTCGACTGTTGTTTTGTCATATAATCAAACTTTGTTATTTTCTTAATAATATTTTAATTAATTTTTTTTTTTACACGTAACAAATTGTTCATATACAATTTTAAATTCGCCTACTCGAAAATAAGTAGCCGCTCTCAAGTCCGAAGAAAAGGATGAGGATTTTTCACTTTTTTTAAATAATAATAATAATAATAATAATAATAAAAGAACAAAAATTTAGAACAAACTCAAAATATGTTAGTTAGCCAATGAATTCGTACTCAGTCAGATGATTTATGCACAGGTTCAGAGTCATCTAACACACGAATTTATCATCTTCAATAAGGAATATTGTTTTAATTGCTTAGTAACCAAAGATTTCATTTTTGAAGAGTAAAGTAACTTACTTCCTCATTTTCATACTGTAAAGAACCTTATTTACATTATTTATGAATGTGCTTTTGATATTCTTCTTGAATTCACCTTATTTGAAAAAGTAACAATCTAAACTAACACATACAAATATAACATTCTTTATCAAGAGTAATAATATATTATTATTCTTGAATATTGGTACGTGACAAATGCTCAAATATTCTTTCAAAATATAATTTAAATTGCTACATTTTTAAAAATAATAATGCAATATTCTTTTTAAATATTATATAAAATAATAAATTATAGAGTAACGTTATTTAATACCACTAATGGTTAATACCAATTTAGTTACCAGCACAACTAGTATTAAATTATAGATTCAATTAAATAAATCACAAAATTTTAATTTTAATTAAGTTTATCACATAATACCATGTAAACTGACACTCTAGCACCATGGGAGCTGGAGTGAATTGTTTTAAAAATCTCTCAACTCATACTATTGTCACGGACTACTTACTAAACTTCAACATGGTACACACTGCTCATTGAACTTCCTCAGCTTGCGCTCCATCCATCATCCAAGAAAAATCGTTATCGTTCTTGCTCATGTGGCGAACGGAATTTTGATATGACGTCTAACACCCGTTAAACACATGCCAAAACACCGTATCAGCAAAACTTAAAAAAAAAAAAAAAAAAAAAAAAAAAAAAAAAAAAAGGATCCCAAAAGATCAAAAATAAAAATAAAATTTCTCCTTCTTCCCTTGCGCACCCTACGCCCCTCCACCACCACATCACCAAACCAAACCCAGAAAAACTAGCCACAATCCGGCCACGACCTGCCATCACCAACCTCAAAACCCAAAGCCCAAATTAAAACCCAACCACACCTTCATTTGTTCCATTTCACATCCATAGTTGACAACGGAATATAGTCTATGCAAACGCACTAATATTCATTGTATACTTTCAGAAAAGTAGGAAAAAATTGTTAACAATTTATAGAAAATATGTGGAGGATTTCATTTAATTTGTTGAAACAGGGGATTAAACCGATCGAGGTGTACGCTAATTCCACCGCCGACACATTGGGGTTCGCCGAATTGATGGGTCCATCTTCTTAATGCAGCTCCTCCATCGATGGCTCGAGATTGAGATCTACAAAAAGAAAATGGGTTGATTTTGGTGAAGAAGATATTCAATTTTTCATACATACATACAACATATTTGTGTTCATTTGTAGACAAAGAGAGAAAAAATGATGGAAAATTGGTTGTTGTGGTTAATGTTGACTTGTTGGTGCCTATTGTTGTTGTGGTTAATGTTCACATGTTTGTGGTGGCTTATGTAGGTGGTGACCGGTGGTGGTGGCGGCCGTGGCAAATGGTAACGGGTGGTGGTTGAGGGTTAATTTGGTTTGGTCGTGGGGTGGGGAAGAAAGTGAACAGTCCATTCTATTTTTATTTTTATTCTTTTTCTATTATTTAGCCCCCGTTTGGCCCCATTTTTAAGAAGTGAAAAATTGATGGAATAGTATTTTTTCTGAAAAATGAATAGTTGAAAAAAAATAAAAAGTTTTCGATTTACGTATAACATTATTTTATGGAAGATTGTGTGATTGAAAATAGGAGAGAGAAAAATATAATGCAATGAAATTTAATGTAATGGGGGTCAAACGGGGGCTTAGTGTGATTTGGCATGTGTTTAAATACATGTTGGACCTTTTTTGCTGACTAGGACTTCAAATGTGATCTGGCATATTTTTTACGGGTGTTAGACGTCACATTAGAATTTCATCCGCCACATCAACAGGAAGGATAATGGTTTTTCTTGGGTGATGGATGAAGTGCAAAAGGAGGAAGTTCGGTGAGCAGTGTGTAGCATGTTGAAGTTTAGTGAGCAATCCGTGACAGTGGTATAAATTAAGTGATTTTTGAAACAATTCACTCATAGGAGATAAGTAGCATTATTTTAAATTATATTCAAGTAAACATATGTCTATTAATTGACATAGTAAAAATTAACATATCCCATTTTGTTATATAATTCAAAATTAAGAAAATACAGACATTTTCTTTAATTGAGAAGAAGAGTCTCCTTATGAATTCAACTGATTAAAACTTCGTGTCTTTCTTTGAACTGAAATGAAATTACTTTTTAACATAAATTTGGTAGAAATTCATGAGTAGACAGAGAAATAAGTTTTGCTAACTCAATTGTCCAAAATTTTGTGTTAACAATGTAATATAACTTAAAAAGAAAATAATATAATCAATAAACTTATGTATATATTTTATTGACCATATATTTATCGGTTAGAATTAGAACCTCGTTTGACTCTTATTTTTTGAAATGAAAATAAGTTGAATATTATTTTTTTTTATTTTTAAAATAAGTGGTTGAAATTTTTTAATTTACGTATAATATTATTTTATAAAAAATTATATAATTAAAAATAAAAAATAAAAAAAAATAATTTAATGGGAGTGAAACGAGAGACTGGGGTCAAATTACAACAAACAGAAATTGAATTCATGAAAATATAATTGAATAAAGCTATTTGTACATTGTTTATAAGTTTCTCTCACACACAATCGACACGTTTACAGACACACTGACATTACTGTAAGAAATCTATACATGCACATATACGTACAATAACAATCCCATCCAACGTCCCACTATGTTTCTGATCATACCAAAATGAATCAGAAAGTAATCAGAAAAGGATGCGTGTGTAAAGGCGAAGAATTTGAGTAATTTCTCGATTGCAGAGATTGCAACCGTGGCTGTCGGCGCGATAAGGGGTAGTGAGCGAACGAGCCCGGAACCGTGGAAGGAAGGAGTTGGGGGTTTTGTTTAAGAAAATTGAGGCAGCGAAGAGGAGACAACAGTGGTGGCTCGAGACAAGATGATGAGTTTGGAGGAATTTTTGGCGAAGGCAGGAGCGGTGGAGGAGAACTTTTTGGAGGTGGGGGAGGAAAGGGAGCTTGAAAGAATTTACGTGTATGACAATTCTCCGGTGTTCGGAAAAGGAATGGCGGTAGGGGTGGATTTTGGAGTGCCTTCACCAGTGATGGGAATGGGAGTGTCAGTAGGGGTGGATGCGGGAAGGTCTTTGCCCGTGGAGGGAATGGGAGTGGGCGTAGGGGTGGATGTGGAGGGGCATTCACCGGTAGTGGGAATGGGAGAACCTTTGCCGGTGGTGGATGTTGGAGGATCTAGGAATGGGAAAGGGAGAGAAAAGAATGGTCTGAGCTCGTTGGGACCGGTGGATAGGACAGATCGGAGGGCGATTAAGAAAAGGGAAGTTGCAGCCAGGGCAAGGGCGCGAATGCAGGTGGGATTTTCCTAAATTTCTTAGTTGCAGTTTTGTTTGGTGGGATTTTTATACTTCATTCTAATTTTGAATTGATTTTGTTTTTTTGTGATTATAGGCAAGAATATTGGGATTGGAGTTGAGGAAGAAGAGTTTAGAGGAAGAGAATGACCAGCTAACGAAAGAGAAGGTAATAGCAATTGAATTCATCGTATTGATTTGAAGTTTTGCAGACCTAGGATGATAGTTTTTGAGACAGTGATCAATTTGCTGAATCTGATTGTTCTCTATTTATGAATGGAGATAAAAATAGTGAAAAGGAAGGTGACAAAGTGCTCGTTTGGATCGCATTATTTGAAATTTTAATGGTTGGAATATTGTTTTATTGAAGAATGTGTGGTTAAAAAAATAAGAAATAGTTTTGGGATTATGTATAATATTATTTTATTGGATAATGTATAGTTGATAAGAAGAGAGAGAAAAATGAATTATAATTTTAATGGAGGCCAAACAGGGACTAATTGAGATTCTGTCTTAGTATGTCATGAATAGTTGCATTTTGCAGTTAGAAGAATATCACAATGAGTTCCTCCGTCTTCGTCTGGAGTTTGCTTAATTACTCCTCACCGATGTTTTGCACGTTACTTTCTTTTAATTATATTGCTTCCGGTGATTGTTTCAACTTATGGTTCTGCAAAATGGTCGCAAACTAGCTTGTTTGCAACCTTTTCAAATTCTGCAGGTGATGACTAGCTCTTAGGCTTAGTAATAATACCATGAGATGCCTGCACAATATCTTCTTTGTTGATTGAGGTTATTGATGCATGGGAAAAGATACTTATTACCGTTGGTTGATTCGCAGTGTTTGACTTGTCACTCTTTCTATTGTGAATTAAGTTCATTTTGTCGGAATATTCCAGTAAATGTGGATAGTATTTGTTGGATACGGCGCCATGTAATGTGGAGATGTCTTGTATGCTTTCTTTTCATCTTGATCTCAAGATACTGTTGGTGTGCCTTATCCACAAGACACGTGCTATCAAATACATCAAATGCCTCAACGGCAGGTTTATTTACCTCTCCCCCCTTTCCATGAGAAGCATGTAGTTTAGAACGCTTGTGATTCATAGATGAAATCAATGCTCGTTTTGCTGTCTAATTGTTGTTCATGTGCCTACCACTGCACTAGATTTTCCCTTTTCAAACTGTCATTAAGTTTCTTTAGCTTGTGTGGTTTTTGTGGTTGGATTTGTTTCCACTGCAAATGCAACTTAGATTTTAAGTGAGTTTACACATTTGAAGATGAGTAGTGCTGCTAATAAAGCAGGCTACATTAGATAAATGGCATTATCTAGAATCTGAAGGCCGATTCACCTAGAATATATATCCCTATAATTTGAAGATGGAATGTCTTTCCCGTTACAGCGGAAGATCTTGAATTTGAGACTTTCTACACCAAAAATATTCTATATCTACTTATCGTATTTCTGGCCCTGCTCAGTAGTTTCGTAGCAGGTTTTTTTCAGACATTTTCTTGGAGTAGAAGGAACCGCCATTGGCCACAAACATGGAAAGCCACAAGTAGAAATGGTTGTACCAGCCAACACAACCCCACCTTCGAACCATTGCATCTCTGCACTGCCAATTAACCACCACAAATCTATCAGCCTGAACTCATATCAAGAAGTATAAACTCCAATGAAAAAGTTATATTGACAGGTTAGGGTAAATACCACATTACAAAAAGAAAAAATCCAAACAAAATATGAATTATCAAAAGGGGAGACTAATTCAACACAACTCGTTTTGGTTCTCGAATTTCAGAAATATTTTAATGGACCCCTAACAAGACAATACGACACCAAATCAAAGTAGAGAGAGAGAGAGAGAGAGAGAGAACTAATGGTGTTGAAGGTGGGGGTACTATCAGGGATCGAGATGGACGGTGTGAGTTGATGAATAGCAAAAATGGGGATAGGAGAATACTCTTGTTTCCAGTTCCCTCCTTGAATGAACTAGTTGAGAGAGGGGGAAGGAGATCTTAAGAATTACACGGGATGCTCTTTCCTGGAAGTGGTTATTTGCACTGTTAATTTGTGTTACCAAAAAAGGAAATGGAGAAAATACGTGGATGGTTATGTGTTTTTGTTTGCTTAGAGCCCTCGGACCAACCTGAACAGCGTATATATGTTGTGCTGAACCGAAATGGACTCCTATTTTAAAGGTATTGGAAATGAAAAAAGATGGTGATACTGTATTTTTGTCTTTTTGTTCTTATAGGCTTTGTGGCTCTCCAACTTCCACATTTAGAATCTTGACATTTATAGATTACTTATAATTAAAAGTTAGCATTTATAACATTTCCCTTTTTGTATTCCTTTAAAAGAAACGACTTGTATCCACGTCTCCTAAACCAACACTGCAAGTATCTTTTTATGTGCTCATCGATATAATGTGGACCACACACAGTCATCACTTGTGCTATAATGGCATTATGATGCAATAGGTAGTCTACTTTTGATTTTAGCTTGGTGGCAATGATGTGCCGGCGCTTGATGTAATGTTTGACTAATGAAACTAAGTGCTTTTATGATATTGCTGATACTGGTTAGGTTGTTGATATCCTATATATCAGTGGTCAAAATGCAATTGAAAGTAATCAGTGAGTTGAATCATAGATACATTTACTTCAGATTTATTGTTATCTTTCTTGGAGAAGGAGAAATTTTTTAACTCTACATTCAATTATGAACCACCTAGATTGAAAGGCTTCTTCTGGTATGCTTCATGGTTTTGAATTGTCAATGGTTTTCTTTTTACGCACATTTGAGCCGCTTTTTGGCTTTCTTAGTTGTGATGCATTCCTGGTACAATAGATTTGATGAGGGTAAGGTAGATATAAATAGCATGGTTTGTTGTCGTTGAAAAGTATCCAAGTGCAATGGATTTTTAATTAGACATATTGATGGAGTAAATGGAGGGGTGAATAAGGATTATGTGTCAGACCCCAAATTCATTCTGAATAAGGGTTATTTTATTGCTGCTGTTATTGGGGCTGTTTTAGTAAACTTAGTTACAAATATGATGCTGTCAGGAAGACTTTATGTATCGGTTGGCCTTTTGATGTGTAAAGTTCCATTTTTTATATTTATGTTATTTAATCATTTCTATGCCTTCCACAAATTTTCAAAAATTGGAAGTGGCAAATCTGTTTTTGGCACAGGTCTAAATATTTTCAATGTCTCCCTGCTCAATCGTGGTCTTAATTTCTAGATTAAAATATATGGTTTTCTACACTGGGTTGATAAGTAAAGGAGGATTATATATTTTAATGACTTTTAACTTTTTTTCAATTTTATTCTTCTTTGGTATATTCTTGTGCTGCACACAACCTTGTGTCCCAGGGCTTATATCGTTTGGTTGCTTTTTAGTTTTAATATTTGTTTTTGTAAAAATATACCTTGTATGTCTTGATTGTTTTAGTCAAATTTGATTGGAAACGTGTCAATGAACCATGTACGTGTGTTCTTGTTTATTCAATTCCTTGAACTTACAAATATATTTTTTCAATGAATTTTCTAATTCCAGGAACAGTTCGAAAAGGAGAGGCTTAAGAAGGTATCAAACATACTACTAACCTATATAATCTTCTACCGCTCCCCGATATTGTGAAAGATCATTGAAAAGCTTAATATTGTGTCCGGTCGTCCATTTTAGTTGTGAATTAGAGAAAAGAATACTGCTAGGAACTTTATCCTCAAAATTTTCGTTTACTGTATCATCAAGAGGCTGCATGATTTTGATATCAATCCTTCCTCAAAATTAGACATAAATTGAAGGTGGAATCCATTAAATGTCATAATTATCTTGCTGGGCTGCTTTTAATTAGTTGTCACAAAGTAATGGAGTGACAAAAACAGTAAAACGACAAATTTATAAGTCACAGTTAAGAGGTGTGAAAAGATTCCCCAGAAAAGGCTCTCCTACGCACAAATTTGAAAACAAAGTGAATATATAAAGATGAGAATGTAGCAAGTTTTGCTGGGGATTGTTATGTGGAAACAACTGCATTACTGATATTCTAGTTGATTTCTCATGCAGCTAATGGAGAAAGTTATCCCAGTTGTGGAAAGGCGAAGGTCTCCATGCGTCCTGCGTAGAGTTCATTCCATGGAATGGTAATCATTTTCATGCACGATGCTTGAGATGAGATTCAAATGCTCGGTTTGTGACGTTGAACGATGTTAAAAAAGCTAGCATCGTCTGCAGAAAGAAGCTTTCTTCAGTCCAATCATATACCTTAGCGTATCGTTACTTTTCAAGAGCAGAGTTCCTGTAAATGTATTGAGTGAAGACTGGTGAACTCCCTCAAGAGGAGACACAAGTATTTAGTACCTTGGATATGTTAATGTAAATGGATTCAGGATCTTAGAGTGTATGTATTCTGTATCATTTTGATAATGCCCAGTGTTTCCTTTTTCAAACTCATTTTATGTTTCAAATTTTGTTATTCATAAAGATAAATAGTATCCTCTAAGTGCATGTTTGTTATACAGGACAAGTCTTGGCAGTCGAATAAATTGAATTTTAACGCTTTTTTTTTTGTTTGGTTCCATAATACAGTGTAGTTTTCCTCCCTACTAACATGCCACGATGGAATGAGAGGATTGGGTTACTTTTCGATACAATGTTTTCTAAACATCTGTGCACTTTGTCTCATTTTAAAATTGTTATTTTTTCATTTTAAATGTTGGTATTCACTTTGAGATGTAGGTTTGTGTTATTCAACTCCTGTTTGTTCTAATTCTTTTGAATTTTTATTTTTATACTATATATTCAAACAATAAAATATTCTACTTATAAACTCAAAAAAATTTCCATACTTTTTAATCACAATTTTTTCAAAAATTCACTATTCAAAATAATATTTTTATTTGAAATGGATGGCCAGCAAATAGGGTCTCAATATGTCGAAATGAATTACAAAGAAGCATTTAATAAAGTGACTAAAAGTTTAGCAATACCAAATAATCGTCCATGCAAAGCAGCTTCGTCCAATCCATTTTGCTAATTGCAAGCCAACCATGACATGCCATCCTAAACAACCATAGAATTTAGTGGTTAACAATGTTTTATTATAGTGTAAATTTGAATGGAGGTCACCAAATTATAAAAAACCTCAATCAATTTTTAATTTTATTTCAAATTTAGATGTCATTAATGCAATTGACGTGAAAAATAGATAGCTTGCCATACAGGACGGAGTTCAATCAGCTATATACATGCATGCAAGCATATAGTGTAAACACATGAATAACGTTATAGAAGGATTTTGAGTTAAGGAAATTGTGTTACTAAGTACACACGAATTAATTAATGTGAAGATTTCAATTATGTTGCATTTTCAAGAAACACGTCATATGCGACATTCCATCGACTCCAATGTTCACGCAAGCAGGGGCAAAGCCAGAGTACAATAAATAAATAAATAAATTGCGTACCAAGTTGATGCACAGGAAAAAAATCTCCATAGAAAAAATTGGGAGACGTCTACAAACAAAACTTGAGTAAACGTGCGGCGTAAAGTCGCTCACCAATAAGGACAGCAATTACAAAATTTAATTTAATATCAAATTAAACTCTAATACAAAGGTTTAAACAATGTGAATTTCTGATATTCAATGATATTGAAAAAGGTTTCATAGAGACTATTCATAAAAACCTAGCAAAAGAAATGATTAGAGCGGGTTTGGTTTGCTGTTTTCCAGCCGTTTTCTGTTTTTTAGTTTTCAAAAATGCCCAAAACATTTTTGATATGTCATTACCGAAAATAAGGAAAAATTTATAACTGACAACTCAAAACGATTTTATTTTATTTTATTTTCGTTTTGAGTGTTTTCAGTTAAAAAACTCAAAACATGAAAGGAATGCTTAGAAGTACTTTTAAAATAAAATATTGTAATCCGATACAATTTAGTGAAGCATAATAATTTTAAAACCCACAATATTTTTCAATTTCCTTTATTGCTTTTTTCGTTGATCAAAATTTGGAAGAACTATTATTTCCTTTTTTACTGTCCGAGTGACAACAAAATACATTTGGAAGGATGGAGATCAGAAGCTATTTTCTTTACAACGATTCCTATTTTTTGGTCTATAAATTTATTATTTATTATTTTATTTTTGTAGCAAGAAAACATAGTAAATTCCCCAAATTTAAAATATATATTATCTAATAATATATTAACATAAAATTATTACGTTTTACTAAATAATCAAATTAATTGAATAAATGACATAAAACAATTTCTAAAAATTTATTATTTTATTTTTGTAGCAAAAAAAAAATTAAATTCACAAGTTGTGTGTGTGTGTGTGTGTATATATATATTATCTTGCAATATATTAGCATAAAATTATTATGTTTTACTAAATAATCAAATTAATTGAATAAATTTCATAAAACAATTTCTGAAAATTTTAAACAAAACACATTTTCTTGTTTTCTGTTTTGAGAAATTGTTTTTCAAAATGACAAACCAAATACGTTTTCTGTAATTTAAAAATAGTTCCTCAAAACAAAAAACTAAAAATGAATTCAAAACTGAAAACAAAAAACACAAACGCAAACCAAACTCACCCTTAATTTTTTTAATTAATTTTTAGCTTTATTAAAAGCAAATTTAATTTTTTAAAGTGAGTAATTTGGAGAAGTTAAGAAAAATTCTAAGAGCAATATGATTAAGTCAATAAGTTTGTGTTTAGTCAATTAGTTCGTATGCGCTGAATCAAATGATTTGTGCACTAGGTTGAACTCATTAGACTCGCAAACTTAGCCCCTGTTTGTTATCCATTAATAAATTAAATTGTTTTTTACAATAATATTATTTATCACACATTCATACTATAAAATATTCTACACACAAACCAATAAAATTACTTTATATTTTAACCATACATTCTCCAAAAAATACTATTCAAAATTCTATAATTTCTCCCATAATGGGAGACAAACAATCTCTTGCCATATGAAATCATGACGTATGGAATAGGAATATAATTGCTTAGTAACCAAATATTTCCATACTTGAAGAGTAACAATTTTTTTCTTATTTTTTATATTAAAGATTTGGGTAGATATTATTGATAGTACAAATTCCTTATTCACCTTCTTTATCAATGTGTTTATGCTAGGGATGGTAACGGTTCGATTTCGGTTCG